TTTTCCCATCACTTCTACTACTTCCACTGGTGGCACTACCATGAGCTTCATTTTAGGGCCTGCTGCTCGGGCTGCTATGTGGCAGGTGTCCTTCACTGCCCATCCTCCAAGCAGCCCTCCAAGGTTGATTCCTATCATTTGTTCTCAAGACTCAAGTTATCTCCAAGTTCTCCAGGGAGCTGCCAGTTTCCCCCTCTGAATTGCAATCTTATGCCGCCTTTTATTTCTGGTCCAATCAGAGCCTGAGACCAGGAGGGGCAGGGGATGGAGGATCTCTTGACTCCTTGATTTCTTTTTATCTGCCTAAGCCCACTCCCCTCCTATCTCCAGGCTCAGAGCTCTTGTCTGAAAACTGCTTGCTGATTTGATGAGCTACCTTCTAATTTAAACAGACACAAGGTGTTCAGGTCGGGAGGTGGTTCCTAGCACCCACCAAGGCCCAGTGTAGCTGTTTCACAGTGTGCATAACAGAACATGTAAAATCTTATTGTAATTTCAAAGACTCTGATATGTGTCTAATTGGAACTCAGCACGGCATAGCTGGGGAGAAGGCAGCAGTTTTCATTGTATGAAGAATCAGGAAGAGAAACAGCTGAGGCTACTGGGGTTCTGTGCCAAGAGGCTCAGCTCAGAACAGCAGGGTTCGTTCAACACTTAGTCAAGGTGCTTGGGATTCTTTCCAGAAAGATTCTGTTGTTCCCACTGGTTATAGAAATGGCAAGGCAGGGGTGGCCGCCCAGTATGACAGCCAGTGTCTCCTGCAACAATGCAAAGCGAGGAGCAAACCATAGCATCTTCGCCGGCTGCCTAAGATTTGAAATCTTTCTGGGATTTAACACACATAATGAATGTTAATTCTGCTGGAATTTTCGGAAAGACCAGGTGAGGAGTCAATAACTTAGACACTGGAGACATTTCTCAAAGCTCCAACAGTTCTAAGTAGCAGCATCCAAAGACAAGTTTCTTTTATGTGGAATTTCATGCTCGTTAGACACAGCATTTGGTGAACCTTAGACATGTGTATCGGGTATAGTGCACACTCCCGGCTCTAAAAGTTTTGCAGATGAAAATAATAAAATTGTTACATAGGTCAGAACTCATAATAAGGACTTCATCAGGGAATCTGAATTGTTCTGATGTAATCAGAATTTATGAAACCTATTATTTCTTGGAAGTCATATTTGTCTTCCTGAAGACTTATAAACAACTATATAGAGTTATGTGATAGGCCATCCATCTGTGTATACTTTAAGAACTTTTCTATTTGTGTACATAGTGTTATATAGTTTTTAACATTCCTGGTGTCCTGCTCTGTTTTGTTCTGCAGCTTGTCCTGGGGAATCTTTCTATGTGTACATACTGTTTTTAGCTGCCACATAGTATTCCATAAGCATAGTTACGCCACAAGGCATTAACCAGTTCCTGTAATGACCAGCATTTATATCATTTCCCGTCTTCTCACTATTATTAACATTGCCTGTAATGAACATCCTCGTATGTGCCTCTTTGTGCATTTGGGTATTTCTCTAGAGAAGATATTGAAGAATAGAAGTGCCCTGTTAAAGAAGTATGTCTTGTATTTTAAATAGATACTGCCAAATTGTCCTGCAAAATTTTAATACCACATTACACCCCACATCAGCAGTGCTACTGCAATTTTACTGTAGTCCTTTCTTTGGGTTAAGGCTTTTGGTCCTATGGAGCACCTGCTATTGCAATGCAAATTACTCCAGCAGGAGCAATTAAGTCCTTAAAACCTAGAAATGTTAGGGGCAGTTTTGCTGGAAGCTGGGAAGAGAGCAGGTCCCTGGAACTTCCTAGGAAGCCAGGGAGCGATCTGAAGACTTAAGACACTAAGAGGTAGGAGTAGGGTAGGGTGGTCATAAGGACGATTGAAGATGATAACGGAGAGGTGCAAGATAACTTGCACCTGGGGAAGGGCTAGGGAAGCTGGAAGAATATTTATGTCAGATTTATGGGGTCTGAGATTGGGATTGGAGCGTGGTGTTTTGTATACTCTCATCCCTAATATCTCCTACTCCCCTACCCCAACCCATTCATTTTATTTCTCCAAGAGCCTGACCCTACGTGTGTGCATGCTTGTTTTATGACTCTCCTTTGGCGGTGTGTCAGCCTTTAGGGGGATTGATGGTAGGATAGAGATCTCAGCCTAAACCAGCTCGAGGCCAAATTCCTTCCTGGTAGATAATGATCATTTCTAAGACCTCAAAGGCTAAACAGAATGCTCACCCCAGTCACATTCCTAGTGGCCATATATTCCACATCAAAATTTAATGAAAAGTTTCTGAAGATTTTTCCCCATCCCAAACATTTTACAGTCTTAGAACACCAAACAAACATTTGTTTTATTCTTGAAAATCTTGCTTACCTGTTACAGAAAAAGAGGAAGAAGGAAAATTATTTCACAATCAGGTATATATGTTTTACTCTCTAATGTTTAATTCATTTAATGAGAAAGTTGGATTTGATGAATTGTAGCAGATTATTTTAACAGAAGTTTTAAATTTTCAACCAACTTGGCACCTGGCATCTTTTTCCTTTTTCTTTTCTTTTTTTTTCTTTTTTTGCCTATCACTAGTGCAACTGATTGTTCAATCAAAACTTCTCCTAGGGCCAGGGGTGGTGGCTCACGCCTGTAATCCTAGCACTCTGGGAGGCCAAGGTGGGTGGATCGCTCAAGGTCAGGAGTTCGAGACCAGCCTGAGCAAGAGTGAGACCCTGTCTCTGCTAAAAAATAGAAAGAAATGATCTGGACAACTAAAAATATATATATACATAGAAAAAATTAGCCAGGCGTGGTGGCACATGCCTGTAGTCCCAGCTACTCGGGAGGCTGAGGCAGAAGGATCGCTTGAGCCCAGGAGTTTGAGGTTGCTGTGAGCTAGGCTGACGCCACGGCACTCACTGTAGCCCGGGCAACAAAGCGAGACTCTGTCTCAAAAAAAAAAAAAAAAAAAAAACTTCTCCTAGGCAGTGGCTCTCAAGCTTTACTGAACATTGGAATCACCTGGGGACCATTTAAAAAAAAAAAAAAGCCCCATACCCAGGTGATACCCCACATTAATTAAACAGAATACCTGGAATGGGAGCCCAGCATCAGTAGTTCAAACTACTGATTCAATGGATAAGAGAAAAAACTTTTTGGTTTAAAAAATGTAATTTCTAGGAGGTACAAGACAGCAACACAGTTAAATATTTTAAATACTCAAAGTCTTTTTCTGGGATCAAAGAATGTCCATGATACAATAGACCTATTGAACAATAATTCACAAAATGAGATATAATGCTAATAAGATTCACCCAACTGAGACTTCAGTTAAGGTGTTATCATATTATTGAGTACAGAAGGAGCATAAACTACAGTGCTTTTTTGATATTTATTAGAAGTTTGTATGTTATACAATGATAGCACAGACAAGCTTTGTGAACCTAAGGAAGGTGTCCTTAATGAAATGTAGACAGACCCCTTAGTGCTTAGAGAACATGTAGAAGAGCCTCATTAAGGATTTAACGGAATTAGGGTTATTTTTGAGCCTTGGGGGTGGGGAGAAGTAACCAGAGAGAGCCGAATCTGCACCTGCATTTTGTCTAGCCATTTGTGCGATCCATACTACTTTTACTGCTCATACATAATTCTTCATTACTTTAAAAATACTAGAGAATGCTCCAAAACTTAAGCTGCCCCTCCCCAGCTGGTATGGGATTTACATCCCACCCAGATAAAAGAGCAAGCCTATTGCCAGACCTATGGCCATGTGAGTCAGCACCTGTACCCTGCAAGAATGCATACAAACCCCAGGGCTGCGCTCTCCTGGAGAGGGAGGGAGGGGACTTAAAAACCCGGGGCAGTGTGGGGGAGGGGCTGTTTGCCCTTCTTTCTCTGGGGAAGTAACTCACTCAAATCTCCTGCCTTGCTGAACTGCTTCATGCAGCTTTGAGTGGGGCCTAGTGCAGTTGGTCTTTCCTTACATCTGGATGCACTACAAGAGAGTTCTGCTGCTGCTGTTCTTTACCTTTCTTTCTTGCTGGGTCTTTAAAGGACAATTTGATGTCTGCCCACTTTGGAAGTCTTCAATCTGGGCAGTAGCTGTCATATTTTTCCTGCTAGCACATCCTGCTCTCTGGACCGAAGTGCCCTGCTAGGACAATGGTATGTGCTTTGACTCTTGCTGATCTAAAGGGAAGAGAATTACCTAATAGTTCTAGGGTAATCCTTTGAGGGAACTAGTCTTGGGCTTCTGTCCAGCTTACGTTGTGCTTTGACAATGCATCTTGGTCCATCGGGGTGAGTCTTCATAGAAGCCAAGCAAGCAACTGAAACAGGGGTTGTGTACTTTCTGCTGCATTTTCCTCTTACCTTTTCTTCCCCTCTTGCATTCTTATCTAACCTAGATTATCACTTCTTTTGTGAGCATTCCCTTTATGCTTCTTATTTTGCACTCTCACAATAGTGACACAATCACAGCCTTCAAAATATACTTAAGGATACAAAGGGAGAACAAGTTTAAGTAAGTTTATCTCTAAAGAAACCTAGTGTTTTAATCTTATGACTGCTGAGTGTAGAATTCCACCTTAAGACCTGTGTTTGATGCAGGATTTATCTGAAGCTTTGACTTGACCTACTTGTGCGTTTTTATTGTTGTTGGATGAAAGTAAACATTGCAAAAGTTTGCATGTTTTTAAAGGTATGGTTGAACTTTGTTTTAAAAAAATTCCTGAAGGAAATCTAAAATGACTGATAATTTTGTGTAACTTATATTTGTTGTTGTCTAGGCAAGTGAGTATATTTTTTATTCACTTGAGAGGTGAACCCTTTGGCTTAGAAAGACCATGCCATAGTAAAGAATCTCACAAACATCTAACAGCCCATGACTCACTTCACCTTGCTTACAGCATTTATCACTGTTGACAAGCTTACTGTATCTCCTGTCTGAATCTGCCTGCAAGTAAGTTGTCATAATCTTTCTACTTTCTTATAGGACTGCCAACCAGACTCCCAGAAATCATGTTGGTAGGATCCCAGTCCTTTTCGCCTGGAGGGCCCAATGGGATTATTAGAAGCCAGTCCTTTGCAGGTTTCAGCGGCCTTCAGGAAAGGCGATCCAGGCAAGTAGTGTGTGGTTCTCTCCTGGGATGCAGCTTGAAAAGGAAGTGAGCTTTGATGTCCTGAAGAGGGTCTCTGTGTGTGCAGTCTCACCAGAAAACACACACACACACACACACACACACACACACGCACTATTTTAATCTCTTTTTCACAGAAAGGATGTACCAAAAATTAAGTGCTGTAATTTCTTTTCTATCATTTAGAATTCCTCCTGCAAAAAGGATGGCTGAGGATTTAGGATAAGCTAGTGATGTATGTATAGAACTCTCCACATCTCCATCCCCTTTTGAAACACATTTTCCATTGCATTTGGATTTGGGAGACTATGTGCAGTACCAGGTCATTCAGTGGATAAAGACTGTGCCTCTGCAGATTGACCCCAGGAAGCAGATGCCATTCAGACAGGGGCTGGCAAAGTTAGTCTTCTAGTTTCCTTGGAATCTCCTCTCATCTAAAACAGGACTTAGGTGAAATCAAGAAAGAACGAACAGATAGTGGATAGGGAACATAGAATAAAGTTTGTCTTCAGTTTTTCTGATTTCATAAAGGTCTTACCCTCCGAGGGGCCCTGTGTGCTTCGACCTGTATTGTCCCATTTGGTGCACACAGGGATGGCAGAGGAGCATAGCAAATAACTAACCTGGGAGGGATGCAGCAGGCACCCGTTAGATGCGGCGGTCTCAGCTTTCCTGCTGATAGCCGGGTCAGCGAGTGGCCTAGCCTCTGGATCTCCTAATCAGATCAGTACTTTGGTTTTAAGGTATCAGCCATCCGTCTTACCACGGCAAGCTGCATCCCTGACACTACTAGAGATGTTGAATTTTTATGTTATACCTAATCATAATTTATTCCATAAAAATAAAGCTTTTTGAAAAGATACATGTGCTCTTCTTTAATGTCATATAGAATGAGCCATTTGGCATGCTCATGGCCCCTTATCAAAAAGGCTTCCTTCGCATCCTAGTTGAATTTAATAGATGCTCGCACCTAATCTTGCATAGTGCACTTATTTTTCAGTTGGATTATATCCTTCTTTCTATGCATTATGTCCACCTAGAACTGTTTGTCTTTGGCTTCCTATTAGGTTTTAGAGAAGCAATACATTTTCACTCAGAGTACACATTACCTGAAGCCAGACTTTGACTCTGGGTAGCCTCTGCCCAATAAAGCTTTCTGATTTCAGCAGTTAACAAATCTAATACTGAGAAACTAAGGATGGGTCGGATGTGTTAACGTACCAGGGAACATTACCTTCCACAAAAGACATTAATAGGAACACAAGATGATTAAAAAGACATTTCTTTAGTCAAATCCTTTTGGGTGCCCGAGGCTCACAATTTCTTCTGTTCTTTCTTTCCTTTTCATAGGTGTAACTCCTTCATTGAAAATTCCTCTGCTCTCAAGAAGCCTCAGGCCAAACTGAAGAAGATGCACAATTTAGGTCACAAAAACAACAATCTTCCCAAAGAGCCTCAGCCTAAAAGAGTGGAAGAAGTCTACAGGGCATTGAAAAATGGACTTGAGTAAGAACCTTGACCCTGATAATGCACTTTGTGGAATGAAATGACATGGGAGCTGGGGGCAGTTTCAGAGAAAAGCCGGTATTATGAGATCATTTTTTAAATGTCCATTTCTACAGGAGGTATTTTATTCTTGTGCCACAATCAGGGAAGTCTTAAGTGAGTCCCAAAGGTATGAAATACGTTGGGATTCCACATCCTATCCATAACATTGAAGGAAACTTAAAACCTTGTATTGTATTGAATTTCACTTAAACAATGGACGGGCATATCCATTCTAGAGATTGCTAAAGGAGAGTTCTGAAACCTTCCTGAGTATGTTATAGGGATTGTGTGCCCAGAATAAGGCTTTCCTAGTGTGCAGTGAGACATTCACAGTCAGTGTTATATTTAACTAGTATAATTCTGTGAGCTCAGACCCAGGGCTGACCGTAGGCACTGCTTTCCTCCCCATTGGTTTTTCCTCTCTGGACTTTCAGCCACACAAGGTTTTCCTTTTTGACTAGCTAGATAGTATCTGATGCAACTGCTAGAACTTTCAAAATGTTGAAAGACTGGGAAAAAGCAAAGCCTCCTCCCCTCTTTCTCAACTATGGAGAAAGGCTCAACTCCTAATGCCCTTTGAGAAGGAAAAGACCAGCAACAGATTCCACTTAAGAGGCCCAGAGTTCACTGTTACATCTTGTCTTATCTTTGCAGTGAATATCTGGAGGTTCACCAGACAGAGCTGGACAAGTTGACAGCTCAGTTAAAAGATATGAAAAGAAACTCTCGCCTGGTAGGTACTGTGCAGTCATTAGGATGCTAACTTGGTGTTCTTTTTTTTTTGACTAAGTATAATCTTTTACTGTGTGGGGCTGGGGAGGGGTGTTTAAGAAAAGTAGATCCAAGGGGCAAAGTACAATCTGCATCCTGATGTGTATATTGGGAAGAAGAAGGTTAAGTTTTCTTCTTAATGCTCTATTCTTAATGTTTTTCAGTATTTTCTAAACATGTTTATGCAGATAAACTTCATAATCAGGAAAATAATTTTTTTTTTGATTTCCTGTACTCCCCTCCCAAATAATGTAAGGAAATGAAAAGTTGGCATTTCCCTAGCATGTTGTTAGTACATACAGATTTGGGGACCCAGAACTTTATCTCCAATTTTTAAAAAATAGGTGATAAACAAATCCGGGAGGGAAAGGAGGCTTAAAGAGGTAACAGACATGAGAAGTTAAAGGAGTTCTTAGGCCAGTTTGAGTACATATTATATTGCAAATTTCCTTTATTCTAATGAATTTATGAGGACTTATGGTTGAAGAGTGGTTCCAGTGTCTACAATATTTTAAATAGTTGTATTCAGTTCTAAATGATATTACACCTTAATGTTTCCAGGCATCAGAAAGCCCAAGAAAAGTCTACCTGTACCTAGGAGGTGCAACTAGACATTCATAGCTGTAATCTTTTTCTTTTTTAGGAGATGTGTTAAAATATATCTTGTTGTCCTTTTCAAAGGCTTAGAGATTAAAGGCTTTATCAAGGTTAAGAGGTTTTATATTCTATTGAGGTTAGAATGTAAATTGCCCCATCTGTGTGGACTACTTGTGGGATGGCCTTCAGAGCTTTTAAATGGCCCTGACCTTTTGATGGCTACAGATGTTTTTCCTTGGAGAATGGCTGATGGAGGGACATCTACCAGGACCTCCTGTTCCCTAAAATCCTTCAGATGGGGGATGTGGGGTTAGTGCACCAATTGTGCTATGATACTGTGAGCACACAGGCAATGAGCTTGCTTTAAAAATAATTTGTGAAAAGCATATCTCCATCCTCAAGAACTCTTCTTAAATCCCAATTTTATTTATTTAAACAGCAAGGCAAGTATTTTTTTTAACATATCTACCACTGCTACATTGTATGTTAACACCATTTATTTTTTAAAATTTTTTGAATGAATATGAATTATGTGCCTCTCAATATGTAGGAGAGGAGAGCTCAAAGCAAGTGAAAACCTTAATGCTCCCAAGGGACAGAGGAGACTGGGTGTAATTCGGGAAACACAGAGCATGAATAAATATTGACTCTTAAAAGTACTCTTGCTGGTATTTAAAATAATCCAGGTTGTTACTCTTTTAAAGTAAATGTCAAAAATCCAGTGGAACTTTGCAGGACTGATTATTATTTACAGATTGTGGGCTATATCACTCTATGAAGATGGGTCGTATTTTGGGGGAAGATGTTTTAATCCACATACTCCTTTTTTTTATTTTAGGGTGTGCTGTATGAACTAGACAAGGTAAGTTATCATTCTGTGTTGGGGTGTTATTACAAAATAAAACTCTGCATCCTTGAGTAGAAGTCAGTGTAAACTACTAGAGAACTGATGGGTTTTCTAATTCTGGAAATATTCATTATTTTGTCTAATGAGGATAATGCGTAAGTACTATGATCTATAGATTCAGAAGAGTGTTTAAGGTCATTTCCATTAAAATGCCACTAGGTTGTAGGGTTTCTCAGTGTTTTGAAAGTTGAAATATTTTCCAAGTGTTTGGATGTCCTTGTGTGTGTTGTCTCTTGACTACTAACTACCATGCTTCACCAAATCCAAGGCATCATTGATTGGAAAATGCACCATTACTTTATGTGCCACTAAAATAAAAAAAAAAATGATTCCAGTTAAATTCTGATAGTTCTTTCTTTTCACTTAAAACTTGTATTTTATACTTACTGAGAAAACTCTTTTAAACCTAATTAGACACAGATTTTTTTCTTTTTTTATATATGATGCCGCTCTCTTTCCATGCCTTTCTGTGAACACAATAATTTTATTTCAATGCTGAATCATAGTATAGTCTTTTTGAAGGCATTTTAAAGGGAAATTAATTTAAATGCATGTAATAATATTTATAATTCAAATAGATGACACACGAACAACTGTGATTATCTGTGAGCACATACAGGCAGCTATCTTGTACCACTTGGCCAGTAGCCATTGTAAGATGGACCCCAATTTCAGAGACACTAAAATGTGAAGTGGATAAAAAGCCCAAATTAAATATATTATTATAAAGAAGTTTACGTATATTCCAACATGATAGATACTGTTCTGCCAGAAATCTAATGAATTCCATTGGATTGGACACCTGGATGTTAAACACAGGGATTCCAATAACTAACTCAAGTTCATCTCTCAGAATATTTACTCAATATTTTAAAAAATACTTTCCAAATTGATATTAGAGACTCTCTAAAATGGGAACAAAGACAGAAGGAAAGGGGAAATATGCAGCATTTTCTGATACTTTTGAGTATGACATAATAAAAAAAATACTCTCACAAGCCTAAGTCAATTGAAATGTAAATGACTGTACCTTTTCAAACTTCTTTTAATTCTAGCAAATTAAAACGATTGAAAGATACATGAGACGCCTGGAGTTTCACATTAGTAAGGTAATTGAAGTTCCTGTTGTCTTTGCCCGTTTTTAAGTTTTCAGTTACTAATCAATACACCTTTGGCCTGAGCATAGTATCTAGTCCATGGAGAATTTCTTATTTATTTGGCTCCTCAATTAAGTCTTCAAACAGGTAGTAAAGATGGAAGAAAAATAAGAATGGAAGGTCTAATATAGCACAGTTTGGGCTCATTTCAGTTCTGCAAATATGTATTGTTTTTTTTTTTTGAGACAGAGTCTCGCTCTGTTGCCCGGGCTAGAGTGCCGTGGCGTCAGCCTAGCTCACAGCAACGTCAAACTCCTGGGCTCAAGCGATCCTCCTGCCTCAGCCTCCTGAGTAGCTGGGACTACAGGCACGTGCTGCCATGCCCGGCTAATTTTTTTTATATGTATATTTTTAGTTGTCCAGCTAATTTCTTTCTATTTTTAGTAGAGACGGGTCTCGCTTTTGCTCAGGCTGGTCTCAAACTCCTGACCTTGAGCGATCCTCCTGCCTCGGCCTCCCAGAATGCTAGGATTACAGGTGTGAGCCACCGCGCCTGGCCTGCAAATATATATTAAGTGCTAAATAGCATGCACAGTGCTTGGTGGAGGGCTCAGTCTCACTGTAGTGTGGTTAGAGATTAAATCAAACTAACCCCACAAAAAACTTCATACTTACCTAACTTTACACTCTGGTTCCACATATAACTTGGTGCCCCGTAATCATCTTCATGAAGGGCGGGCTTCTAAGTACTGAAAGACTCCTGTCTATGTGCCTCCCTGAATCTTCCTCAGGCTCTTGGTTCCTCCCACTCTTCTTCATGTGGCATGGTTTCCAGGTGCCTTTTCATCCCCATTGCTCCTAGATGTGCACCAGTTTGTCAACATCCCTGACATCCAGCCCTGGATTCTATAAATAGTTCATTAGTGGTCCAGTGAGCCTAGTGTGGAGTGGGACTATCATCTCCCTGTTCTAGACTCTATCAGGAGTTGTTGCTGCTACCCAAAGAAAATTTTCCTTTGGGGGCAGCCAAATCATACCATTAGCAATTCCTGTTTGCATCGACACTCATCGGCCTCTCTTCCAAATGGGGAGACTGGGGTTTTAGCAGATCTCTCTCCTTAGAATCAGCAGCCTTAGCTTCTAGTCCCACCTGTGCCACACACTCACTGGCTACATCACCTGTGTGGACCTTGGCTTTCCTCTCTGTGAGATGGGGCTGGGGAGTTGCATGTATTCTATCTAGATGGTCCTAAGAACCCTTTCCAGTGTAAAATTCTATGATGATTCATATGTATGTATACATATGTATATGCTTCTGCCTTCGTACCTTCCCACTTTGAAAGATATTTATTACCTAGGCAAATCTGAAATTGCTCTTATTTCTGCTAAACTCAATAAATAAAACAATGACATTCATCAGATGGTATTTGTGGCAGGCAAGCTTTGACAAATTTTTCTGTTTAGTTCAAAAAACAGCAAGAAAACAAAATCAGTATTAGATAAGCATGTATTTATCCATCTTATGTCTATAGTTGTTAGATACAATAATCCTAATTGTTTTCAAAGGCTGGCGGTACTGTATTTGCAGTACCTTACATATAAGATGCTTAACAAATTGTATATATTAATAATTGAATAAGTCAATTAATCAGTTAATTTAATGAGAGCCACTGCTGACTGATAGGTAAGACAAAAACTTGCCTACAGATGGGCTACTTTCTGCTCAGGCAAGTACATAGGTATCCTCTATCTTAAAGTTTAACTTCATTTGGCTAAAATAAGTTGATATTGAAGTGAAAACAAAGGATAAACTTTTCTTTCTATGCAAAGTGATAGATTAAGTCATTACAGCAATATCGATGGACCAGTGAGCACTGACCCCTTTCTCAGAATATTATAATCTCAGAGGCTTCAGGGTAGCCAAAAGTGGGGGAAAGGGTTGAAGGGGCAGTTTCCCAGAAGCCCACACAGGTGAAACAGCCTGGTCTGCATTGGAAGAGTCATTGGCACTTGTGTCCCTAAAAGTTTTGTGGGGATCTCCCACATCAGAACAATCTGCAATGTTTATTTAAAATTTCAGATTCCTGCATCTGTACCCCTATAATATCCTGAAATAAAAAAAAAAATTTCAGATTCCTGACCCAGCCCTGACCTACTGACTCAGCACCTCAGCAACATGATAGATACTATTCTGCCAGAAATCTAATGAATTCCATTGGATTGGACACCTGGATGTTAAACACAGGGATTCCAATAACTAACTCAAGTTCATCTCTCAGAATATTTACTCAATATTTTAAAAAATACTTTCCAAATTGATATTAGAGACTCTCTAAAATGGGAACAAAGACAGAAGGAAAGGGGAAATATGCAGCATTTTCTGATACTTTTGAGTATGACATAATAAAAAAAATACTCTCACAAGCCTAAGTCAATTGAAATGTAAATGACTGTACCTTTTCAAACTTCTTTTAATTCTAGCAAATTAAAACGATTGAAAGATACATGAGACGCCTGGAGTTTCACATTAGTAAGGTAATTGAAGTTCCTGTTGTCTTTGCCCGTTTTTAAGTTTTCAGTTACTAATCAATACACCTTTGGCCTGAGCATAGTATCTAGTCCATGGAGAATTTCTTATTTATTTGGCTCCCTCAATTAAGTCTTCAAACAGGTAGTAAAGATGGAAGAAAAATAAGAATGGAAGGTCTAATATAGCACAGTTTGGGCTCATTTCAGTTCTGCAAATATGTATTGTTTTTTTTTTTTGAGACAGAGTCTCGCTCTGTTGCCCGGGCTAGAGTGCCGTGGCGTCAGCCTAGCTCACAGCAACGTCAAACTCCTGGGCTCAAGCGATCCTCCTGCCTCAGCCTCCTGAGTAGCTGGGACTACAGGCACGTGCTGCCATGCCCGGCTAATTTTTTTTATATGTATATTTTTAGTTGTCCAGCTAATTTCTTTCTATTTTTAGTAGTTTATCCTTAACAAAGGATAAACTTTTCTTTCTATGCAAAGTGATAGATTAAGTCATTACAGCAATATCGATGGACCAGTGAGCACTGACCCCTTTCTCAGAATATTATAATCTCAGAGGCTTCAGGGTAGCCAAAAGTGGGGGAAAGGGTTGAAGGGGCAGTTTCCCAGAAGCCCACACAGGTGAAACAGCCTGGTCTGCATTGGAAGAGTCATTGGCACTTGTGTCCCTAAAAGTTTTGTGGGGATCTCCCACATCAGAACAATCTGCAATGTTTATTTAAAATTTCAGATTCCTGCATCTGTACCCCTATAATATCCTGAAATAAAAAAAAAAATTTCAGATTCCTGACCCAGCCCTGACCTACTGACTCAGCACCTCAGAGTGAGGCCTGGGCATCAGCATTTTAACAAGCTCACCAGGTGAGTCTTGGCTAGTTTTAAAGTCTGGAAACCACATTCTATGCCAATCACCAACCAAAAGATTTTTTCAGCAGATTTGCCACCTCTTGAGTCTTATTTCTCCCTCTTAATCATCAATAAATCCATTGACCCTGAAGATTAAAGACTGTACTTTTCAGAGTTTGGGGATTCCGCTCAGCAAAGTTGAGTGAATTGTTGAACTAAATAGCAACAAAGAATCCTTTAATCAAGAGAATAATTTTTAGTCTCTTACCGTTCACATTTTAAGTGTCAGTGACCTAAGTGTCATTGACATCTGCATAGAAAAAGAAATTATGGAAAATTGCACCACTCTAACAGGTCAGAGTAATGCCTTCCAGTGAGTAGCCAAAAGTTTTCCTTCAGAACAAAAGGGAAATCTTAAACTCTGAAATCCAGTGTATGCATCTCCACTTTCTTCTGAATCTATAGGTTAAGCCTCCTTTTTGAAGAAACAAAGTTTGTACTGAAATAAAAATTCAAATAGTCCTAGGAAGCTAACTGCCTTCCCAAAGCAATAGGTTTCATTTGCTTTTGTCAGTGCCTGATGACATTGTCCTTTGTTACCCTGCCTGAAAATTCCCGTAGTTTACTGCAGTCAGTTAAGTGTGTTGATAACGGAAGATAGCACAACACTATAGACATTGATATCATCAGGAATAACTCTGCTGGGCACAGTGGCTAACGCCTGTAATCCTAGCACTCTCGGAAGCCGAGGTGGGAGGATTGCTTGAGGTCGGGAGTTCGAGACCAGCCTGAGCAAGAGTGAGACCCACCCCCACCGCCACCCCATCTCTACCAAAAATAGAAAAAATGATCAGGGTGCGGTGGCATGCACCTGTAGTCTCAGCTACTCGAGAGGCTGAGCTTACTCCACAGTACTGTAGCCCAGGCAACAGAGCAAGACTCTGTCTCAAAAAACAAAAGAAAAGGGAATAAGTTTAGAACAGGTCTTTTTCAACCTCGGCACTATTGATATTTGGGGATAATTCTTTGTTGTAGGGGCTGTCCTCTGCCATTATAGGACTTTTAGCAGTATCCCTGGCCTCCACCTACTAGATGCCAGTAGACCCCTGGGAGTCAAAATGGCCTTGGGTTGATCGAGAGTCACTGCCTTAGATGCATTAAGTGATTATCAGGCTTATATGATGAGTATAATTAATAATCATTTAAAAAATGTATATTATTATTGAGAAGCATAAGTATAGAGATGTAGCAGGAAAAAGAGTTTGTTCATATTCTTCAATTTATTTTTTAATTATGGTATAATTTATATACGAGACAGTTCACATTTAAGTGTTCAGTTCGATAAGTTTGACAATTGTTTTACCCTAATTTTAAGAATAACTTCATTTCTTCTCTTTATTGTTGAGCCAAGATTTTACAAATAAATAGCCCCAGGTTCTTTTAAGAAATGCTAAATCTGGATGTGTAAATATCACCTTGTGACAATACCTCCTAAAATAAAGTGAGAATAGCCTATTACACTACAAAGTTTTCCCTTAGCGTGAAACTTTATAAACTCTTTCAGTGTTTGCTCAATACTCAGAAAGCTCTTGTCTTCATTATTTAATATTTGTCCCACACCAGTCCACCAATGGGCCAACAAAACCTCAATAATGTCAACAACAACAACAAAAAAATGCAAGAGAGGTGTTTTCATTTTGTGCAATTTGAAGACAGGATCAGAGTGAAATCTGTTTTCAGACAGAAAATGGATCACGGTGGCTAAAATAAAAATGTTCTCTATCTAAAAGAATAACACTTCTACAAGGTTCACCTTGTAGAGGTCAAAAACATGAAGTACCTTAAGCACATAACGATGGTCTGTGTAACCTCTTTCAAGCATAACAAATATTCATATTTCTGTGTTTCCTGTTTTGATTCTGGCAGGTAGATGAACTCTATGAAGGTTATTGTATACAACGACGCCTCCAAGATGGTGCCAGCAAAATGAAACAAGCCTTCGCAACTTCCCCTGCCAGCAAAGCCGCCCGGGAGAGCCTGTCAGAGATCAATAGGAGCTTCAAGGAGTACACAGAGGTATAACCTGCTAACCTGCTTACTTGCTGAACCCCACCTGGCCTGGTGTGAATTGTCAGTAGCTGCCAAGAACAAGGCGAACAGCAACACACAGCCTCATTCTGCTCTCTAGAGAGACAAGTTTTACTGTTAGCCTCAAAAGTATGCAGGAGACACAATCAGCAGAATTGTTTAAAATGAATAAGCCACAGTGCCCTGATTTTTGTCATTTGAATGAGCTTCTAAATATTGTAGCATACAATCTAGTTTTATCCCTGGAAGTTGAACAGACCCTGTGGTTCAGATGGCTACATTGGATGTCAGTGTTGTTTATCAGTAACCTTCCTGCCTACAATTTTTTTTTTTGTTGTGAGAAATTTTTGTCTTAAAGGAGACAAGATAAAGAACCATGAACACAAGTGTGCTTTCCTGGTTTCTGACTCCCTGGGGCCCAAGCATCTGACACAGAGAGGTCTTCACTCCTCCTGGGGTCACCTAATACCAATGTCTTTGATGAAATGACTGAATTATTAAAGCAGCACTTCTCACTATCCCATGAGTCTTTGTTTGAAGATCAAATTTCATGAATGAAGTCATCGACCTGAAGAGGGGCTGTTGGACAATTCCCAGAGCTGAGAATCTGTCTCAGCCCTGGACCGAGGGACCTCTTGGATGACCTGCATTCAGATGCTTTGTGTGTACACCCCAGTGTTGCCTCTTGTCTAGACCCAGTTTGTCTCTTTTCATGACTTAAAACAGGGCTTCTTTATCTAAGTTCCTCCTTTCAGAATAATGTTTTTTAAATGCATAAAATAAAATACATAGGAATTGAAAGGAAACATTATATTGAAATGGTTATTTCAACATAGTATAGTTGTCAAAATATTTTAAAAGTCAAATGTGGGATATAGTACTGTGCTGCTGTTTTATTAATATATCAAATTATGAGATCCAGCAGTGGCTCCAATAACTACTGATAATTCAAAATAGTGAAAAGTATAAAAGATTTTTTTCAAGTAATCTGCAACAAATGATATGACATGAACATACATGTGATTTCTATCAGTGTCGACATCACAGGTACTATAATAATAGTGCTATGGCTTGTTTTCTATATTTGTGATATGTAGACATGTTTAATTTCAGTTAGAGGTTAGTTAAAATAAAGATCTGACTCTTTCTACCCCCTGCCAATCCTAGTTTAAGGACTTGCAGGTTGAGAATCCCTGGCTTAGAAGCAACCCTAGTTCACAAGACCCCATTTCTACAGGTCTCCGGAACCAGAAGGGCCACTTCTAATTATAGAAGCTGTTTATAGTACAAAAGCAGATAAGTGACCAGTAGCATGCAGGAGCTGCCTGTCCTGGAATAATTTACAGTTCATCTCAGAAATAGCCACTCTTGGTCAAGTGCCAGGGCATGGCATCATGACTTTGCTCACAAATTCAAAGACACAGAGTGCGATTTCAGCAAGAGGAAGGGCTGCCTTCGAGAAGAAAGAAATCCAGAACTTCTGTAGCTTCGTATCTCACTTGACATCGGGTGGTTTTTTATCCTCCCATACCCACAAAAGCCAGGATTTTATCACAATGAAGGTTTAAAATGCGGATTTAACAAGGACAGGATGGCTCAGGGTACTTTTGCATGTGTAGCAATGTTCATCAATGGCTACATGGGTGAGAAAATTTTTACCGTGAACATCCTCAACTTTTAACCTAGCCTTCCCCAAGGTTTTTTTTTTTTTTAGAGACAGGGTCTTGCTCTTGCTCAGGCTGGTCTCGAACTCCTAAGCTCAAGCAATCCTCCCACCTCGTCCTCCCAGAGGGCGAGGATTACAGGTGTGAGCCACCGTGCCCGGCCTGTCCCCAAGGTTTTCAAAGATACTGGTAGTAATCTTGATATTCACAATAACATAGTTGATATTTCTGGAAACTGTAATGTGTTCCTTCAAAGATACCTGACACTCTGAGAAAGTAAATTAGTTTAGAATACTGAAACTTTGTTGTCAAAGTTTTCAAGCTGCATAGAGCTCAGACTTGAGGAAGTTTTCCCCAGTTTTACTGAGCTGTTTGAGGCACCGAGAACTTACCAAGGAAAAGGCAATGCTGTTCTCTTCGCATTCCATGAGAGTGATCATTTAGAGCAGAACAAAGGAACAAATAAGAATCAGAACCTCTAGCCTAACAAATCAAGCCTGAGGTCCTCAGCACACAGAATTCAAATAGAAGCAACATCCATTGGCACTCACTGAGCTGGCCATGCTCTCGTCAGAGAGGCCACCCCCTGGCCCCCAGCCTTGATGGAGACTGGCTGCTGAGCGAGCATCCTGCAGGTGCCACCCTGCATCAAGCTTCCATGGAGATTGCTGCTTAGAGGCTATACCCAAAGTGTAAGCTGGCCAAGCAGCAGGAGGGCCTCACTGAGGATGGTCCCAGGCCACAGCACTTTTCCTTTTGATTTCTGACACCATTTGCTCTGTTTAGGTCCTCAGACACTGAGGAAGTAGAGCAGGGGTAGTTATGCTCCTATCCACGTGTGTAGATAGTGGTGTTCCTTCTGCCTATACTGATCCCTCGATATCGGATTGAGGAGAGGACCCTTGCCAGACCCAGAAATGATTTTTTGGGTGCCATGGCATGGCAGCAAGAAGTCTACCTCACTCACTTGAGCAGAATTCAGCCCCTGTGCTCCTCTGGCCCCAAATTTTTTACTAAGAAAAGTTTCAAAACTACAGAAAAGTTGAAAGACCGGTATATTAAACGCCATATGCTTTTATCTAGATTTACCAATTGGCAACATTTTGCCGTATTTGCTTTCCCTCTCTCTCATGTGCTCAATTTTTCCCCCAAGTCATTTGACAGTAAGTGGTAGACATCATGAAATTTCACCCCATAAATATTTTAGCATGGATCTTTTTAAAAATGTGTTTATTGACAAGTAAAATTGTATATATTTGTGGTGTACAATATGATGTCCTGAAATATGTATATGTTGTACAATGGTTAAATCAAGCTATTTAACATATAACGTGGATCTCCTGATATTATAGTAATCTATATAACATGCATTTCCTACATGACCACATACCATTATCACAACTAAGAAAGTTAATGATCATCCTATAGAATTATCTAACATCCATTTTGAAATTTTTGGCCCAATAATGTCTTTGATAACTGTTTTGGTTTATTTGCTTGTCTTTCAAATCAGGACGTCATCAAGGTTAAGGCCTTGTGTTTGGTTATTATGTCTTTTTAATCTCTTTCTCTAGAATTTTTTTCCCCCATGATACTACTTTTTTGTAGATTCCAGGCCAGTTCTTACAGAATATCCCACATTCTGGATTTGTCTGACTATTTTTGATGTAATTTAACATGTTCATCTGTGCCCGAAATTTCCTGTATGCTAAAAGGCTTGCTTAGACTTGGATTAAACATTTTGTCAAGAACATTTCATAGCTCATACTGGGGAACTCATTTCAAACAAGTAAATGCCTCTTGTTGTTCGTACAATGGTTATGTGCCGCTATTGAAACATCCTGTGCTTTGAACTGTTGGGTGAAAGAAAGCTAGTTCTAATGCCCATCTCCTGTCCTCTTCACAGAATATGTGCACCATTGAAGCGGAGCTAGAGAATCTGCTGGGGGAATTCTCCATCAAGATGAAAGGTATTCTTTTCCCTGCTAGGAGAGAGTAAGGAGCCACCTCTGTGGAGCACAGAGCTCCCTGTGTTTGAGAACATGCGCTATTTCTATTTTCCCTGCAAAGACACCATACTGCCCACTCCCAGCCCTTCCTGCTTAAGTTAGTTTATTGATGCTTCTCATCCTGAGACTTGCCTGCACACCTAAAAAAATATATTTATTATGACAGAATCTCAAACATACATTAAAGCAGAGAGAACATTACAATGAACCCCCATAAACCTATCACCTAGATTTAATAATTAGCAAGATTTTGCCATATTTGCTTCATCTGTTTTCTTTTGTTTTTCCTTTGATGAAAGAGAAGTCATTTGATGAAATAAAACCCAGATGTGTCTGTCTGCCCCTGCATACTTCACTTGCATCTCTTAAAGAACAAGGCCATCTTTTTACATAACCACAGTGCCAGTCACGTTCTCACATCTAACAAAAATAATAAGGCTTTGTTATTAACACATTCCTTTTATCAGATTTCCACACTTGTCTCAAAAATACCTTGTATAGTTGGTTAGTTCAACTTAGGAGCCAAACAAGGCCCATGCATTATAATTGGTTGTTAGGTACATCTTTTAGGTTTCCTTTAATCTAAAACAAACCCCTTCCCCTTTTTTTCTACCACTGACTTGATGTAGAAACCACTGTTGTGCAGAATGTCCCACATTCTAGATTTGTCTGTTGGCATCTTCATGGTGTCATTTGTTCCTTTATCCCTCATGTTTCTAGTAAACTACCTACCATTTTTTTTTTTTATCTTGGAGCTAAACTCACAGAATACTGTGTCTTATCCCCTCTTTTTCCCAGTGCCTTTCTGGTGTTTATTACAGAAGTTCCAATCTAGAAGCATTGTTGATTAATACCACAGCATCTTTAGAACAAAAAGGAAGCCTGGTTTTAGAAAGTGGAGCATCCCGCAGGTGCTGTTGGATTTACAGCTCAGTGGCCAGGCAGGGCTGTCAGATAAGCAGCCATCCAGCAAGTCCATTTCTCTTCCCCGTTTTGGCCCATTTGACTGTAGCAAAGAGGGCTGGTACTCACACATTTCTTTTTCTGAGGTTTCTTAGCAGCTTGATCCCTAGGTTGCTAACGGGGATTTAATCACCCTCTTGTCTACTTTCTGCAATTAAGGGAGCAAAGACGGGAGACTTTTTTAAAAGGGCTCGATAGGAGAGCTTCGTTTTTGAATGAGTCATCTAACTCAGGAGGGAAATTATTCTGTCAAGTACTATGCAGGACGTGTGGGAGCCTCTCTGAATGAGTGTACCTGGAATAAAAGCAACCTTGACCCTCAGCTTCCCACAACGCTGCATTCTTCTCTTCCAGCAGATCTGGTAGGGAGTCAGTTTATTATTCAGTGTTAAATCTCAGCTCTTTACTACTGAGTCTGGCATCTGTGCTTTTCCAGCTTTTTTTAGGTCTGTTCACATCATTTTGGATCCTCACTGGAGTCAGTGGTTCCAAAACCACTTGGGCCTTGCCTCCATCCAGCAAGTCCAAGTCCATAGTCCCGGCCCTGGAATTTATCTTTAAAACTTTCAGAATGATTGTATCAGCAAACTGATTATGGAAAACAACTGCCCTGAATCAATGTTTAGCAGAAAACACTTCCCTCTTCTTCCTACAGTGTAGGCACCGCCTGTGCAGACTAGCACAGTCATAGAGTCTCACAGCCTAAGAGGAATTCAAATCATGCACATCTATCATTAATACAAAAAGTACTGTACTTCCCCTGTTTTTGATGGCTCATTATCATTAAATGCATCTATTTTTAATGGGGTTGTAATTTCCCCATTTTATAGATGGGAAATGAGGGCCCAGAGAGGTTAAATGACTTGTCCCAGAAGTCACACAGTAAATTAGAGTCAAACTTGGAACAGAATTCCAGGGCTCATGGCTCCTGATGCAGCACTCCCCTCCAATCCCATATTATGAGAGAAGTTCTAACAGCTGAGCAGATACTAAAAACTGTTGCTCAAAGCATTGTCTTTCTTGTGAAGGGATCCTCTTCAACCTAGCACGTAAGCACCCTGGGAGTGGGGTGGGAGGAAAGGGGATCACCCACCCACAAGATCTGGAGCCTCTGGCCTGGTGATCAGAGAGGGGATGATGTTGGGGGCCCTGCCACCCACTGGGGGACCTGGCCACCCAGCTAAATAATAGCACTGGGGTATAATGGGTTATCCTAAGGGACTGACAGAACTTTCTGTAGTTCCTGCTCTTCCATATCTACCCTCTGTTTTCTTACCTTCCTGCCTGATCTGTTTCCTTAGCTCCTACCTGAACTCAGGGTTTCTCCCATGGGGTTTCTCAGACCTGAAACTGATTCTTCTATCCCACTGATTGATTTTTGTCACCTCCACTTTCCTGATGTAGCATGGAAACTCAGAAACTACATCTGTGAAACCTTTCAAGGGTTACACCCCTGTGGAAATCTTTCTCTTCCTCCATAAAGAAAAAGGGAAACCATAGCATGCTGCCAAGAAATCCTATGTCTTTGCAATTAGCCTCATTCTTATCTGTTATTTATTCTGGTAAATCTTCCTCTCAACATGTATATTGACAAACTGAGACTATTTCATAATACTCTCAGACCTGGCAACCCCTAACTTGCTCCTGCCACACCCTTGCACACTTCCCTTTTTGCCCCATCCCCAACACTAAACAACCTTACGTGGGGGCAGGGGGAGTAGGTGGTGATGACAATGAGAACAGAACAAATGCTTACTGAGCACCTGCTATTGGCTAGGCACTAGGCTGCATCCTGAGGAATCATCCCAGGCCTTGAGTTTCACAGTCTGCTGGAGAAAATGGACATGGGAACCAGTGCATTCTAATTCAATGAAATGAACGACCACATGGACCAATAGTGTGACCAGATTGCTGCAGAAACCTGAGGAGAGAGGGAGAAAAGGTGGCCACTCACCTGTCTGGGGAGGAAGGGAGCCAGAAGGAGGAAGGCTTCACAATGTAACCTTTGAATTAGAATGACTGTTCTGGGCAAATGAACAGCACTGGAATAGCAGTCACCAAACAGGGGAAAGCATGTCCCAAAGTGACAGGTAGACTGGTGTGGCTCAAGTGCTGTTGGGAGAAGAGCTGTGCAGCGTTAGCTGGGGCCTGATCATGAGAAGACACGAACACCAGGCTAAAGAGAGAGCACTAGATCTACGAACTGTCAATCAAGATGGAGGTTAAGAGATGTGGTCTCTTAGGGAAAACTGGTTCTTCTTTCAATTATTACTTTGATCAAATTAAGTTCCAGGCAGTGTGTATATCCAGAAGTCTGTGCTGGCCCCTATGGGTTTCACGACAGGTCGGACTTCTGGAGAAGGAAGAGCTACCTGTGAGCTGGTCACCCTGCATTATTTATGTCTGGTGAATAAATCAGTGAGGCCTGGAATAGGTCCCCCTGACTGTTTAGCTACTTGGCTGTTTTCCTTAGAGTAGGAAGCATGAGTCTTGGAAAGGAAGATCATCACAGAACTGGAAAAAGTGTTGGAGAGCATTCTTCTGGCAGAATGGTGTCTGAGCAAAGGAAGGCAAGGGTGGGCAGCTACACGTGGTAGCACCTGGCCCTCCAAATGAGGCTGTGGAGGGGCTGTTACGTCAGTAACGTGTGAGCACTGGAAAACGTCCAAAAGTTATGAGAAGATTCACCAGGGGCAAAATAGTCTCCTGACCCCCACCACCTTCCCACACCCCTCCCTCAGAGGTAACTCCCATGATGGTTTCTTGAGTGGTCATAATGAAAGCTTTCTAGATCATGCAACTGTAGTCACAAAACTGCTGAGAAGGCTGGGCGCAGTGGCTCACGCCTGTAATCCTAGCACTCTGGGAGGCCAAGGCAGGTGGGTCACTTGAGCTCAAGAGTGCGAGACCAGCCTGAGCAAGAGCAAGACCCCGTCTCTACTAAAAATAGAAATTAGCTGGACAATTAAAATATATACATAGAAAAAAAATTAGCCAGGCATGGTGGCACGTGCCTGTAGTCCCAGCTACTCAGGAGGCTGAGACAGAAGGATCGCTTGAGCCCAGGAGTTTGAGGTTGCTGTGAGCTAAGCTGGCGCCATGGCACTCTAACCTGGGCAGCAAAGTGAGACTCTGTCTCAAAAAAAAAAAAAAAAAAACTGCTGAGAAATGATAACAGGCCCCCAGACTGGACCCTGAAAGAGACCTGGCCAGGCCTCAAAGAGAGGCTGTAGCTGTCATTGCCCCCCTGTTAATGCTAACTGTGTGGCCAGCGCACAGTGGCTTACACAGCGGATAGAACTTTAAGAAGCACAGCCCCGGAACAGTTTTTGCCTGGATACTGCCTTTTTGCTACATGATTGCTATAAGGAGAGTATCAGTGATGCCATTATAGCAATTCCAAGAAATTTTGCTTTAATAACATGGAATGAGAAGCTCAAAACATCATTGCCAAGTGCCTTTCTCCCATTTAAGTTCTTCAGATATGAAATTTCTGGTAATTTTGAAAAAGGAAGGAAAAACCTTCAAAGCATTTTCCCCTTTATTTGCCTTTATCCAGCAACACCACCAGATCATTTTCTTTTTAACCAGTATTCCATTGTAATTACACAGATAAACAAGCAATGGATTAATGCTGAACTAATTTTGTAGAAGTTTTTAATGAGCACTTTGGATTGTGTTAGAATTAGCATGTCCAGTTTGGGATTTATAAAAGCCAGTCAATTGTGCTTTCTTTCAGAAATATTTTTTTTAAAAGACTAAATGCTTCAGGAAATTATTAGTGAAAATGGGCTTCTTTAATTCTGCTCTTATTTTAGTAAGTCTTAAGTGGCTTATGTTCTAATTATTAGTGAAAGCTGTTCCTAAAATGGCCTGGTCCGTGGGCAGGAAGGTATGAGGAACTGATGAGTTGCTGCCATCTACTGACAAGTAATGGTAACAGCAGTTGCTTTTTTATAAGCATTCCTGGACCTTTGCAGTCACTTGCCTGTGGCAATGTCCACCAAGTCAGGTGGAAAGCAGATTCGTTCATGCCAGAGTCTTACAACTTATTAACAGGGCTATTCTTAGAAAGAAAAACACATTGTGTGACACCACTCATCATCTTTATATGGGTAAAATCATGTTTAAACAAATATATAATGAAAACAACCCCAAACTCAAAGGTACTGGCAACTCGAGGATGCTGAGGAACCAAGGAATCAGTTTGTCATATGATGTCTGTGTGTGTGAAGGAATCTTAAAGATCAGAGGGCTGTTTTTGTACCAGCTAATTAAAATTATTTCCTCTTAGTCTGCCTCTATGAAATCACTGGGCAAACAGGGAAGGATTGTTTGTGTCTTCTTGAATCTCTGTTTTGGCATTTTGAAAGTATTTAAGAATACCTTCTCATTTTTTTAACATTGAGATATATAAAAAATAAAATAAAATCATCCATAATCACTCCACCCAGTACTAAATTTTGTTAAAATTATCAAAAATATCCAACCAGCTTTTCTTTGTACATATGCTGCCTTCAGCATGTGTGATCTTTTTTATACCTTTTTTCTTTTTATTACAAAATAAATACATAATCTTTTAAAAATCAAAATTATAACTTAATCTCAAAAATTTAACTTTTTTCATAACCCCACCCTACCAGAGGTAATTATTTTAACAGTTTGGTATGTTTCTCTAGACTTTTTTTCCTATGGATACATTTATATGTGGTTGAGATCATACTCTACATATTTTGGGTCCTGCCT